AAGTATTCGCTGTCAACTTTATATGTAACATTTTATAGGCACGTAAACATTGAAATTAGCAGCCCTTTCTAGGTATATGTGCTCAGCATAGCACAGATATAACAAAAGAAATAAAGATGAACTTCGTTTTTATCACTGATTCTGGACTTGTGGGAAAATAAATTTCTCAAGGCTGTTTTAGTTAGAGTAAATATCATTGTCCTTTCAGATGTACTTTATTTCTTCGTTTTGATGTAGAGCTCAGCAGTGGAATTTCAGAGAGTCCCTGCCAGCCTGACACCAGGGCAGTGCTTGATGATCTTACTTTGCTGTTGCTGTTAGGAAACAGAAAAAGGCACATTATTTATACTTTTCTTAATCCCAGTTGAGTATCTGCTTAGTTTTCCATGTTTAATGTTTCCTTTTGCAGCTTGGAGGCTGCATCCACTGGGGGCATCCCTGGAGCTCTGCATGGAGGTGGAGGAAGTAGGCACTTTATGGCACTCTCTGTAGATGAGTGGTTCTCATTTAAATGGTAGTGTGGTAGGAATCCCAACCTTGTCCCTCACCTGTATCATGGTGGCACTAATCTCTCCAACATCCCCAGGGTTGCAGCTCTGCTTTTGTTTTAATAGCTTCTGCAATGGGCAGGTGTGAGGTCTTCCACTAGTTCTCAACTGGGGGCATCTGGCATCATCTGGAAACATTTTTGGTTGTCACCACTGGGGATAGTGTGCTAGTGGCATCTACTGGGTAGAGGACAGGGACGCTGCTGAGCACCCTATAATGCGCAGGACAGCCCCCACAACAAAGAATTATCTGGCCTAAATGTAAATAGTGCCGAGGTTGAGAAACCCTGCTATAGATGGTATCTAAGTTGCTAGGGTCCAGAGGGCCCACATGGTCCTGGATTTAATTCAGACCTTCAAGCCTACCTTGCAGACATCCAGAATTGAACTGAATTCACTCTGAGGTTACCCTGGAATGGAGATACTCCTGGACCATTTTGTACATTAGGGAACAGCACCAAGCCTTGTACCTACATGTACACAAAATCTTTACCTAGAGCCTTTGATAGTGACATTTTAAATAAATACCTCTTGTTTAATCTATTAATATATCATTACTTGAATCAAAAATCAAGAATTGCTAATGTCAAATAGGGCATACTTTCATGAAAGTTTTCCTGGTATTTGAAGTGTTCCTCACTAGGGTAAACTCCATCCTACTCTGCGGCTGGGGAAGGAAGCACTTTTATTGAGCCAAACCATGTGGAGATGTAGGTTCATTTATCCTCTGTATCCCTAGAAGGGCTCCGAGCCCCAGAGAGGTTGAGGAACGCTCCAGTGTTTAGAATAGTGAATGCCATTTCTCTTTGTTTTAGATGAAAATAATTTGTAAAATCCGATATCAAAATACTTAAAAAATTGAAAGACGATATTTTACATTTTTCAGAGCTAAAGACTTGGCTGGACAGTCACTAAGACTCTGTAAAGGCCCGAGGGCTGTGTTTTCCCGGATCCTGCTGCTGTTCTCATTGACCGACTCAATGGAAGATGAAGATGCTGCATGTGGGGGTCAGGGACAGCTTTCCACGGTACTGTTGGTCAACCTCGGCCGAGTGGCATTTCCTAGTTACACCATCAGTCGGAAAACACAGATCTTCCAAGACAGAGAAGATCTTATCAGGTAAGATCATGTTAGCTCACTATCATATCTATCCGCATATTTCAAAATTTAGTAAAATATTATTATTTTTTCACCAGCCAAACTAGAAACATTAAGTCCACAGCCAAAACAGTTTTTGAAGTTTATTTTTTGTTATCTTTCTTGCCTCACTTGTATACATTTGTAAGACATAGGGAGAATACAGAAATGTGCTTAGATTAAGGTTGCCAAAAACTGAGGAATTTTGAGTAAGAGCTATAAAAGTTTTCCCTGGCGTATGTTCCCAAATTGTTTTGGCAGGGAGTATTTTTTTAATACAGACATTTTAACAAGCCTGCCTTATGAATATGTTGTCCTGAGCAAGGCTGAAGATGAATGTTTTCTTAGTCATAACATTTTGGATAAGGATACTTGTGTACTGTATATTAGAATCATATACATGATAAATTATAAATTTTCACTAACTTATATTGGTACTTGGATTTAGTGAAAATTTAGTTTGACCAGCAAAAGTAGGTTTTCAACTAAAAATAGAACTACCATATGATCCAGCAGCCCCACTACTGGGTATATATCCAAAACAAATGAAATCAGTATGTTGAAGAGATATCTGCACTCTCATGTTTATTACAGCACTATTCACAATAGCCAAGATATGGAATCAACCTAAGCATCCATCAGCATATGAATGGATAAAGAAAATGTGCGGCTGGGCTCAGTGGCTCATGCCCGTGATCCCAGCACTTTGGGAGGCTGAGGTGGGAAGATGGCTTGAGGCCAGGATTTGAAGACCAGCCTGGACAACATAGTGAGACTCCACATCTACAAAAAAATTTAAAAATTAGCTGGGCATTGTGGTGTGTGCCTATAGTTCCAGTTACTCGGGAGGCTGAGGCAGGAGGATTGTGTAAGGCCAGGAGCTTGGAGCTGCAGTGAGCTATGAATGTACCCCTGTGCTCCAGCCGGGTGACAGAGTGAGACCTTGTCCCTGTAAAAACAAAGAGAAAGAAAACGTAGTCTGAGGGTATATATATAGTATATAGTGTAGTATATATATGCACAATAGAATACTATTCAACCATAAAAAAGAACAAAATTCTGTCGTTCATGGCAACATGGATGAGCTTGAAGGACATTATGTTAAGTGAAATAAGCCAGAGCACAGAAAGATAAATACCGCATGTTCTCACTCATGTGGAAGCTAAAAAAGTTGATCTCATAGAAGTGGAGAGTGGGATAGTGTGAGGCTGGGAAGGTTGGAGATGGGTAGGTAACCAAAGTTTGGTTAACGGATATAAAAGTGCAGCTAGATAGAAATAAGTTCTAGTGTTCTGCAGCACTATAGGGTGATTATAATTAACAATGCATTGTGTATTTTCAAATAGCTACAAAAGTGGATTGGGAATGTTCCCAACACAAAGAAATGACAAAGATTTGAGATGATGATATGCTAATTACCTGATTTGATCATTACACATTGTATACATGTAAATATCATACTGATCATACCGTACCCCATAAATATGTATAAGTATGTGGTAATTAAAAATAATAGAAGTAAAACAAATGAGCAAAAAATAGGATTACTGTATTTAAAAAAATAGATTTTGATAAGAAAGAATAGTATAGGTCTCACAGGAAAAAATTCTTAAATTTTCTAAAAAAAAGTAAAAGAAAACACTTTCTATAAGAAAAATTAATTTGGGTTTCCTAAAATGTCACTTTTGATTCTTGCTCTAAGATTTCAGACTCAAATTTAACCGAAATAGATTCTGATATTTGCTTTTTGGGAAGTCCTTTAAGTGTTTCTAGAAAAGTCATGTGCTTTAAAAAGTAAGTTATTGAAATTATATAATCAACTGATTTTAGCCCATTTTGCCTTAGCTGTCAGGAAGTTCACCATCTTATTTGTGTTTAACTGGAATAACTTTTTTGGTCAGATCTTCTAATCTGACTGTTTCCTCTTACCCTGTTTTCAGTTGTCTCATATCTTTTTACCTTTTTGGTTTTTAATGGCTTTATGCTTTTCTGGTTTATGAGCATGTATACCCTGAAGCCAAGTTACAGTCTGTCTATATTAATGAGCTGTGAAGCCACATTGTGCCTCAGTTTCCTTATCTGTAAAATGGGGAGAATAATAGTATATTCTTATAGATATGTGTTGGTGCATGTGAAGTGCTTATAGCCTGGCCTGGGGGAGGGTGCCTAGTACAGGTTAATTACTATTATGATTGTCATTATTACTGTTATATCTAAGGGGGATTACTTCCTAGTTCTATGACAAAACCATGGTTGACAGGTTATTATAAAAAGTGGGGAGGGAGGCTAGGGAGAAAAATAAACCAGCTTTCTAGAAAGTAAGTATGCTATAAGTAGTAAAAATAATTAAAACTCCCTTTGGTATGCAAAGGGCCTTAACATTTAAATGAAATTGGATTTAATTGACTTCCAGAAGGGTAATATTATACAATATCTGGTAATATGATACCTGGCCTATCTACCTCTCTACTTGAGATAATTTGTCCTTTCTTTTCTTTTTTCTCATTTATTCAATGAAAATGAGTGTTGAGTACCTATTATGTGCCAGGGTAGTGGGGCAGCAGCGAGCAAGACAGGGCCTCGGCCAGCATGGGGTTACGTTTCACTGGAGATAGAAAATGAAGAGAGTAATTAGAGTCTATGAAAAGTGCTGGGTGGTCGAGGGGCAGGCTGGAGAAGCTCTACGTGAAAGAGCGTCAGGGAGAGTGGCCCTGGAGAAGTAGGGCTTGAGAGTGAGAAGGAGGTAGCCGCTGCAGGGTCTGCGTGCCTGCGTCCAGGCAACGAGGTGAGCGTGTGCACAGGCCCTGAGGCAGGAAAGAGCTTGCTGAGTTGGAGAAGTTGAGGAGACCTCTGTGGCTAAAGCTCCAGGGGGCAGTAGGGCAAGGACAAGTTAGCCAGGAACGCAAGGATCAGAGGCTGCTCGGCCTCGGAGCCCTGGTGAGCAGACCAAAGCTGTTCTCTTAGTAACGGGAAATCATTGAAGAGGTTTAGGCAGGCGAGTGATCCATTTCATGTTTTTACAAAAGCATCTTGTGGACAGGGGTTTGAGGGGAACAAGAGAAGCTGTGGGAAAGCTGGTGTGACCTTAGTGGTGGTCTGATGGGAGACCCTGGGGGTGGTCTGGACTGGGCTGGTGGCAGAGGCAGTGGAGAGAAGTGAATACACATATGATAGTTTGGAAGCAGTAAAGGCTTGATCCTGATTAGATTTAGTGGGGGAGGAAGGAGTGGAGCAAGGGCGGCTCTGGTGCTTTGCCTTGGGTGGTGGTACTATCCAGTGAGGGGGTGGGCAGAGGAGCAGCGGAGCTGTTGGTTCTGTGGGGGTCAGTGTGTGGGCTGCCCTTGAGCCGCCCACTCTGAGCTGTCATGTGTGGCATTGGACATGCCGTCAGGAGCACAGGGAATGCGTCTAGCCTGGAGAGAGAGAAAATTTTGAGTCACTGGCGCATGGATGGTGTTTGAAGCCATGGAATTGAACGAGCAGCATATTATAAAAGAATTAGATTTAAGAGTTTGTAAGGAAATTTTTACATTTGGAGGC